TTTATACCAGTAAATATAATCTCTATCGTACAACAACGATGGCTAGTTCGAATGAAGATCGTTACACGCCCATAAACCCAACGCTAACCCGACATATATATATACTGAAGTTTTAGTACATTCTTTTTATACATAGTTAACACTGAGAATTCGGTAAACTCTTTCCTAATAATTGAGATTAAATTATATATAATTAAATCATATAAAAATAAATTTTAATTAAATTATACTATACTTGTACCAGTGAGAAAATAATTTATACATACAGAATTAAGGCTGACATATAGGAAAGATCATCTAGGAAGGATTACTCGCAAAATGAAGACAAATGGTCATAGTAATCGTGAATTTTAGAAAATTCCAAATACGATTCGCAATTGATCAAACGAAAGCTGCGTCTTCAGATTATTCGCATGGGTCATCCTACTTACTTTCCCTTTAGAAGCGACGCTATCATATTTCTATCGAGCATAATATTAAGGGGTTGAAATGTTAAGACCGTACGCAAGATTACGTAGATCGTAAGGGGTAAACACAGGGTAGGGAAAATAGATACAGATTTTTAAGGGGAGACAAATCTAGAAAACATATAAACAGTTTTTCGTAAAGCGAGTAATTTATTTGTATGGTTCTCCATAAAAACAATGAGTACTTTCCGTGGTTACAAAAGACTTTTATAACACCATCATCTAAATTGCACTAGAAAATTCCCAAGAAATTTACGGAAAAGTATAGAGTTCCTTGGTATGAAGATATCAGACGTGTATAAATGGAGGGGGAAGGAGGAGATATAAAGAAAAGTCATAATTACGAAAAGAATAAATATGCTTGTACTATCTGTCGATTTTAAATTAATGAATATTACTTTTAATTTTAAAAATAATAATTTTCGTTCCAACAGTGTTTATTAAAACATATTTCCCTTTTATTCGTCCACCACTTGTTCTTTAAAATCTGAATTCCCGTTTTATCGCACTATATGTTTTTATACGGTTTACGAAAATGTTCGAACACTCTTTAAAACAGAAGATCTTTTTAAAAGTTGAACTAAACGACTAGAGTCTTTTTTAGAAGTTAGAAGAATTGATTTACTAGACAATGTAATTTTGTTACTTGAGATATATACACGTTGACGTAGATATCTAATTATATTTATATATAATTTAAAAAATATTATTATTTAGTAATTAGCTAACAAATTATATTTTAAGAATATTGATATAGAATAGAAAATGTATGAAGATCACAATGTATTTATTTTACACGAGTATTAACTGATTAGGAGAACTTGTTGGCATTTCACGATGTATTAATATCTCAAAATCACATAACACGAATATCGCAGAGTTATAAAATATGTGTAATTTATTATTGGTTGCCTATATATGTAAATAATGATAATTCATGAAATTTCGCTGGAAGAAACTTTATAGTATCTAATAACATTAATCTACTGATTTATGAATGAAATAGATCAACAAACTGTTCACTTACAACATTTATTTCTTAATTGGATTGTGTTAAAAATTCTTCACTTCTATTATTTAGCTAAAGAAAGCGATGTTATGAATAATCAACATCAATCTATTTTTCACAATTAGGAAAAGAGAAATACTAATAAGCATATAACAAACAGTATACTGAAAATGAAAAAATAAAGAACAGAAATTCTCATTAAAGAAAATCCATATCAAGTGATCAGCTAGCATAATCTACAGAAACTGACCATAAACACTACAATAATTAAAATGAAAAATTTATAAAAATCCATTGTTTATAAGATCTTGAAATAATATTAAAATATGAAAATGTCAAAATGAAATGTTTTACATTTCATCCTATATTCAAACCTATATTTAATAATTTATAGCACGAAATATAATATAACGAAAAATAATAATAAAACTAGAAAGTAAATAATGAAAGCTGGTAAAAAATAATGAAAGGAATGAAATACCAACAAATATGTAGCTATGTCATAAACGATAATCTTTCACAGCACTTCCCATTAAATGCAAAAAGCATAGATAGAAAAGTCAATTTGACACCTGTGCACGTGAAGGCAAGTACATTTGCCGCTTTACACTACAAAAATGGATTTACGCGTTAAGAATAGATGCATCCAATCGAGAAAATGAATTTGCTACTCTCGTAGTCGGTGATCGATGCTGAAGAATTACTCGCACTTCCGAGATAGATGGAAATACACTTTGAAAGGCTTATATCCGGTTTTAACACATCAAGAAGAGTTCTTCGTTAAAAAAATACGACAAATGGAAACTTTTTTATATTTTGATAGATCTACGAATATATTTTTGAATGAGATACTATATATAAATTTCATTGAAATAATAACGTTAGTATAATGCGATGGTAATAAATAATTGACTTCTTCATCTCCTTTATAAGCAGATGGTTGTTTGCCAAGATATTCGAAATTAGGATTTCAACTTTTACATTTAAGCAAGCTTAGAAGAAAAGTGTTAGTTTAATTGAAATTATATTATATAGACAAATGCGCTAAGATTATAAAATAATTATAATAATTATTTATCAAATAGGTAAAATCGAAACGATCGTAATGCAATTTTTCTATTTGCTTTTAATTATTTCAAAGACAGCTAAAAAATTCTACCAAACGTCCAAGCTGGACAAATTGTGAATGTAAAGAATTAAATAAAAAAAAAAATTATTTCACATTACTTTGCTTTGATCAATTATCCGTAAGAACTATCAGACATATCGTTCTTAAACAATAATTACAAGAGGCAGTAAGAATATCATAATTTTCTTATCATGCGTTGTTAAATTTTCGTGTAATTAGGTAACAGTTTAAAAAAATCCGCATTTCGATTTTTAATTGTATTCATCGAAAATACTAATTTCTGAATCTCTATCAGATAATCATATATTACGCATCGTATTTTATCATGATAAAAATTTATATTGTATTCTGCGCAGATTTTTATCTCCTAGAAAGAGTGGCTTTGTTCTTAAAACTCCCGTGAATTTTCCATACTCTTAATTAAAAGAGCAAAAAGATGCTCTCTTTAAGATAGGCAGACAAGGGATTTCTAAATGCTCTTTTGTAAGGAGTTTAAACGTGAACTCTAAAGTAAACCTGTCCTTTGCTACGGCGTTGTATAATGTTACGTATAAACAAGGAACAATATGCTATTACCTTTCCTGATTTTTTTTCTTTAATAGTATTTTACTAATATTAACAAGATAAATAATCACTTTATAACATGCAAAACCACATATTACTAATAATTACTGATTACGGGTCGTTTACATTTCGATAATTTCTAATATTTTCCTAAAAGAATTTACATTATTATCAATTACTTGATCAAAGGTTTTATCGTACCTATCGGAGATACTGATTAAAAGAAGAGGAAAGATTATAAATAGAATTTAATTTTCAAGGTTTCATCTTAATTGTAATAATGTGACAGCAACAGAATTATATCGAATATTATATCAGTATTATACTTCCTATATAATATTTATTTCATCGTTGATTTCTGCAATTAATCTCTTAACTAGGTCATCCTTTATCCAGAAACTTCTATAATCTATGAAACTACAAGTTAACAAAAATAATCAACTTCGGTAGGTGAGAAGAGGAAGGTCGAACTCCACCTTCTTCTTCTTTCTTGCTCAGAGTTTCCCGTTACTTCACGGAATCGTGGGAAATTAGGAACCAAGCCAGACTAATTAAACACGTCGACCTTTTGTTTTCAAGGCAGAAACTGACGCATGTTACATCGTGTGTACGCGCGATGCACATACTTATGTGTAACACGCACGTGTCAGTCGCTTTCGATCATTTCACGGGCCCTACCAGTTTTCCGATCTGTTCCTGATTTCTACATCGCTGGTCAGTAGGTCGATACCAAAATGTGAATGTTCGCTTTGCAAAATTTTTGCCTGCCGATCGTAAACCACATCCTTATTATCGATTAACATTTATGATGATAAATATTGCAATATAATTATTGGGCTGCCACTATTTATATAAATGCATATTTTTTTATGTGGAAAATGGATTATAAAGTAAAAATTTGTTCTATTTAGAAGATTCTGAACATATTTATTTTACATATAGAGGACCTATATAATTGAAATGAAAGAATGTTGTAATAAATACTACTACTACGACTGTAAAGGATTTATACAGGGTGCTTGGTAACTGGTTGTACAAGCGAAAAGGGGGTGATTCTACACGAAAAAAGAAGTCGAAAATATAAAATAAAATTTTTTTTTTAATTAGATCAACTTCAATTCTGTCAGAGACGTAGCAGCTACAACAAAAGTTTCCGGAGAGATAGATTTTTCATTTTATATTGCAAAAGCGAAATCTACAACAATTTATATTATCATGTATGAGGGCACGACAGATAAAAGAAAACACTGAAATAGATACTGTTATATACTTATACAACGTTAGTTAAAATTCTTAAAAATATCATTTTTGGAGTGTAAATTAAAAAATCCAGTTGGCCGCTAACTTTTGCACGTCGCTCCAAATAAGATATTATTTATTTTCGACATTTAATATATTTAGAGCTAATTAATTAGAATATCAATTCTACAGGGTGGTTGATAACTGGTGGTACAAGATTTAAATTTTTCCATCGAGACAACGATCTACAGTGAGACCGTTATACCGCACGCGTACCGAGCGAAAATTCAAAGTCGATTTTCTCGAAAACAAAGCCTCAGACGAAAAATTTTTATTCTATATCTTCGACTTCTTTTTTCGCGTAGAATCACCCCTTTTCCGCTTGTGCCACCAGTTACCAACCACCCTGTATAATAGATCGAATTGTGTACAAATACTTTTGTCGCCACTGCGTGTCTAATACATTAAAAACTCGAATGACGAGTTAACTTTTTTTTAATTAACAGATTGAATAACAATTTCCCAACACAAAACCCACAAAAATTATTGCATAATGTAGCTACTTTAATAAAGTAAATATTTTAAAACGAACCTCGCGTAGCCAAGCCGACGACGATCAGAAGAAACACAGCTGTCCTTTTCATGTTTTTCGTAATCCGCTTCTTCCAGTCAACTCTGACCACGAACGATCAGCTGATAATCGTTTGTTCGCGACAACGATCAGCGAAGAATCTGTTCTAATATCACACGGATTGGTGATCTTGTTGTTAATCCAGCAAAAAAGGTCACTTTCGAATTCGCGAGTTCACCGAACGTACCGCGAGGCTAACGTCATTTCGCGATCGTTTCCGGTTGAACACCGACTGAGAACCGGAACTGTTCCAAGAGTACAACTGTTCCGGACGAGACGCGAGTTCCTTGCTCCTCTTTTTTCTTCTTTTCCTTTTCTCTTTCTTTCGACGAAGATACGTATTCTCTTTGGTGATAGGTAACTTTCTAGGATATCGTGGACTCGAACGACCGACGTGAAACGATCCTTCCTGAAGACTGAGGTGCTTACTCCCTGGCAGGAAGTCGTCCAGGTGTTCTGCTCCCCACTTGTTACTCTTCTCTACCACCTCTCCAACCAGGTAACGACCGATGTGCTGGTTGCCATCGAGAACGAGGCTGACTTGTGCGACTGACTGACTGTTCGTCCTCTGTACTTACGTACTCCTCCGGTATTCAGGCCAACTTTTGATGGGACTTCGCCGAGCTTCGAGATGACAGGACCCTCCTAGCAAACAGCCGTGACGAAAATTCGATTTGAACATGTTGATTCGCTGAATGCATCGCGTGGACACGTTGATACCTTGAATCTGGGACAGGCGAAGCAATGCTTAAGCAAAGTCTGGAATATTGGAAAGTCTAGCAAATTGATAGTACATGAAGCTTCCGCTGCTTCAGAAATGTTTGGACGTTGCATGCAGAATTAGATTCTTCGTTTTGATATCTGATATCATTTGATTTCGAAATTTTAAATAGTATTATACTTCAGATACACAGTGACTCACAGAAGTATCCGAACGTTTATCTGGGAAATTTTTTATGAATATATTATGTTATACGAAAGTTTTTGAAATTTCATTAGCACCGTAATGAGATTACCGTGATTACATTAGTAAAATTTGAAATTAATTTGAAAATGTATATAGACATTATAAGATATTTAATCCAAGCACGTATTTGTTAATATTTATTAGTATACCCCATGAATCATAGTAATTTTGAGCACATAGTAAGATGGTCTCACTGAATATTGAGATATATTAATTTAGTGGATAATCGATTGTTTAAATACTTCCGTGATCTTTGTGAAATATATACTTATACGTAATACTTTGTAATTTCTGTACAGGTTTTTAATTTTGTTTCAAAATTTATCAATATAACGGTGTCAATGAAACTTCACCATGTTTTGCATGACACACATAATACGTAAAAGGTGTCTGCCAGAATTTGAATTCTTTTGGTGAGCCAGCGTTTTGCAATAATAAACTATTGTTGCTCGTATAAACCGTGCTGCGTTCTTTCGGTCTTTTTCCACACAGTCGTCTTTTCCTATTATTGAATATTACAGAATCAATATTAATATGCATGACTCCTTGTTGCAGTTTGTCTAAGTTCCTCTTAAGATGGTACCTTCTGAAACAGAAAAATGAAATTTTCACAATATCAAAATTCAAGAGTAAAGTAACAATCTTCATCTGAATACATATACTTAAGTATCAGTACTTGTTTCGCTATTTTGAATCTTGTTTATGTAAAAGATATCGATATCAGAAATGCAATACTTTTGATCTTTAACGAAAGTTTCAAATTTTTAACGTCAGTATCTTGAGGAATATTATATACTTAACGTAACATATGTTATACGTGTATAAACTTCTTATTTAAAACATTGTATAATTAAAAATAATTACAAAACTATCTGTGAAAAGTATCTAAGATGTTATCTACATGTAATTTAAATTTTGCCTTTCTTGGGACCGCTATAAAAGGAAACAAAGAAAGCTACGTATTAATCAAAATAATTAAACCTATGTGTTCCAAGAAATTGGTAATGTATTCGTGTAAATACTCACATCTATGATATCCGTTTCCATAAGTAGTTGACAACTTATTCACAAATATCGTTCATTTATCATAATTCCATTGGAGGAGAACCGAAACAGTTACCCAAAGAAAGAAAGATAACATTATTAAGGAAAAACATGATTGAAAATGTTAATAAGTCATTGTCTAAGATCTATATAATACTAACTTATTGATATATGATATGATATATGATATTATACGATGATTGATATATTATATGGTAAAAGATCATTTTGTCTAAATCTCATCTTATCGTCAGGAATAAAATATTTGGAAATAATTTTCCTACATCAATAAGATAATAGACTTTGAAATATTTTAAATGGCAATTATATTCTAATTAATGATTCTACGATTAATAATCGTAACTATTAAAATTAACGTTACACAGAATACTCAAACGAAGAGACACGAATTAATTATACATACATGTTTTATATTATTATACATATATACGTTTCACGTTCTACTTTAACTTTAAAAACGTATCAATTTGCATAGAATGTTACTCGAATTTTCCTGTCTGTGATGATAACGGGATGATGTGTACAGTTTAGCTCGCAAATTTATTCGCGTCTAATCATGACATTCACTTTAAAGAAAACTAGCAATTATGCTGTTATTAATGTTATGATGAATGGTCACAATGACAATGTTAATTAAGGCTAATTAGAGATAATTTTATTCTTACGATTTTTACCAAATAATTCACATAATTTATATAATAAAGGGAAACAAGTACCTGGATAAACGAAACTGGCAATGTATAGTTTATTGATACAACCATATGTACGATTGTGTTATGTTGTCATGTTGTCACGAATATATTATCATAGCCAAACACTGTTGCACATTTCCTTAATAAGTACAAATAATCAAGAAGTAAAATAAATCTAAGTAACAATATTTAATAAATAAAATTTAGTTTCCTTCTCTGCAAGGATCACTAGCGATGTATGTTACTAATAAAAGATACAAAAAGGATTCGAAATTAAAAAATTGTTCTTTCTTATACAATCGAAGATTAGAAAAATAAATGTAGAAATTAATTATGCACCTATAACGGTTAATTTAGTAAAGAGAAACTTTAACGTTTCTTTTTCGAACGAGAAAATCAATTCGTGTATATGCATGCATCTGAACCGTAAATTTTTTACCATTCGTTGATACTTTTATTAGTATTATAAAATTCTCCATATGTTTCCTGTATTCCCACTGCACATATAAACCTCCGAAACAGTAAGATGTTTAATAGAAGAGCAGTAAAAGTACTTTTTTTTTCAAAAAAGCAAGATCAATTCTGGACACGATACGTATTTATAAATAAATTTCATACTATATTTTAAACTTTGGAAATATTTTTTTTTATTTATTAATATTTACAATCAATTCTCGCATTGAGAATTTTCAGTAATTTTTTCTGGCGTGGCGCAGTGACACGGCTAATTATTTATAATAAGTTAATACTTATTATAGATAAGTATAATTTATAAATAAGTGTTATAAATAGGTAAATACTACTACTTAAATACTACTACTAAATAATACTTAATACTACTTTGGAAACATACGGATTTTTTTATCGAAATTTACCTTTACTCGTAGTTTTCTAAAATGAAAAATTCCGTCGCTTGTACTAATTCTAAAAAAAAAAAAACATAATTGGAAGAAGTCCTCATTTATTTCATACTTTTGCAATTAAAACGGGGGATCTTGTTAACATCTTACAGTCGTTCCGTTCGATATTTATAGGCATTGCGTTTATTTACTCATTTATTGAACGCTAATATGTTTCCAGATTTCTAATAACTCGATTGATAAATTACCCGATTCGGTTCACAATAAACATTAATTCATGATATTATCGTATTCGCCTACTAAACATGCAACTGTAAAAGAATCGCTAACAGTGGCGTGGCTCGAGCATGCGAAACACTTTCTCGCGGACTATTAAATTTCACGGCTACGTTAATCAACATGTTCGAGGTGAAGGAATGATCGCACCTCATTGTTAGCGCGAAGCAGAAGCAACAATTAACTTGACTAAGGAAGCTTGGCCATCGAGGGTTAGACGATCCGGTTTAGGGTGACGCGGTTCGTTGATCATCCTACTAGTTCTTTCTACTTAGACGCGGTTAAAATTTCTTTTTCATTCTGAATAATTACTAAACGTGGCACCTATAAATGTAAGAATTGATCTTAGGAAACATAATTGTAATATATTAAAAGTTTTCTTTGTTTTGATTATGCAAATGTAATTTTGAAATAAGCGAGCATCTCCGTCAATTTCTTATGCCGTTTCTCTCTTTCAGAATTGATAATAATATTAGAAAATGAAAATTGATAATGATAAACGTGAACAAACAATTTCAGATACTTAGCATCGATAATAGTAAATTTCTATATGAAATATTGATCTTCAGATATGGAAATTGTCACTAAACTTCGAAGGCTTCCCGAAGCTACAAGTTAATTTTTATTTAGATATTTCTCTTTGATAGAAAAATTGGTGCCTTCTTTTAAAGACACATTGCGGTTACTTTTACTTTCATTACGACTGCTTGTACTTTTAAGAGGATATTGAAATGTACGTCTGGCCCAACAAATACTCATTTACTTACGTAGTGGCACTCGACAGTAAACTATCCAACGGATTCTGTCCCGTGGCTCGCTACACAAAGATCCTATTCTTCGGACAAGATTTTTTTTCTTTTTTTTAATTTACAAGTACTATACAATCAATTCTCGCATTGAGAATTTTGAGTAAGTTTCTCTGGCGTGGCGCAGTGATATGACTAATTATTTATAATAAGTTCATTTCTATTATAGCTGAATCTAATGCTTAGGTCTAAGGGATAGCGTTTTTCAAAGCGTTGTCAAATCAATCACTTACTTAACTTATACATACGCAACGGTGTAACTTTTAAGTGTTGAAAATATATAGTTTATAACCCTGTTAATCGCAGCGTTATACCCTCTCAACCACCCCTATTATCCCAACGGAAATCAGAGGATCGATCTATTCGCGGCGTCGATTAGTATAATCGTAACGGGAATTTACGACTCCCGTTGACGTGTTTCCCCGCGATTGGTCGAAAATACACTACGCATAGCGTACACACAGAGTATATGTTAATAAATACACAGGGTGGTTGGTAACTGGTGGTACAAACGGAAAAGGGATGATTCTACGCGAAAAAAGAAATCGAAAATATAGAATAAAATTCTTTTTTTTAATTTTTCTATCGAGACAACGATCTACAGTGAGATCCGTTATAACGTACCGCACGCGTACCGAGCTAAAATTCAAAGTCGATTTTCTCGAAAACAAAGCCTCGAACGAAAAATTTTTATTCTATATTTCCGACTTCTTTTTTCGCCTAGAATCACCCCCTTTCCGCTTGTGCCACCAGTTAC